ATCCATATAAGTATGATTTTTATTGTTGTTGTCAAAATATTCCATTTTATACATGTTACTTTATGGTTTGAACATATATATAAATTTTACAAAGGTGGGTGGTGTTTCTTTAGGCGGATAGTGTTACTAAAGTGGACATAATCATCATTTCAAAATATATTTGAAGTGTATATTTTCATAATTATTTAGCCTTATGTCCACTTTCTTCACTATAGTACCTTCCATCCAAAGTCCTAGGGACATAACCACCTTTTGAAAACATATCTGAGGTGTATATTATTATAATTAGTTAGCCTTACGCCCACCTTTTTAGACATAGTACCTTTCAATTACCTCAATACATCAGGAAAGCTGTGTTTTTGAAGATCCAGGAAAAAGGACGAACGAAAGAGAGCTATTAGAACACTCCTTTTCCACGCATTTGTAAAACACTGTAGTAGAATCCTGCTTTCCACAAACATTTGTAGAATACTATACTAAAAACCCTTCTTTGCACATACATTTATAGAGCACTTTTATTAATATACATATATACATAAAATAGACTGATAATATGATGGAACAGGTAAATTTCAGGCAAGGCTTTATCGGTAGTATAAAGTAAAAGTTTTGTTTATTTTATTCAGAATGTTTCTTAGAAAACGTAAAAAAATAATTTCTTCAAAAGAAAATGTTTTTATAAAGGTTAAAATATAGAACAACTTACACTTAATAATGACGTGCTACTTCATAACACTTTATTCTAACACACACATATATATATACTGTGTTTGTTTTTCAACCCAGAATGTTTTTTAAAACCGATAAAACTTTGTCTGAAAATTAAAAAAGAAAACACTTCTTTCTATAATATAATTCAGGAAAAAGGTAATTGTTTGACACACACACATATATATATACAGAGATGTAGTCACATCAAAGTTGCCAGGAGGCATGCCCCCATTTCAAACCGGTGCCCCTAAAAATTTTATGAAATTCATGCATTTGTACATCACTTGATCTGGTGTAAAATAACCTACTCTCGATCGAAGTTCATAAAGTTTTTTAGGAAAGAAAAAATATCAGTTCAGTGCAGCGCCCCCAAACCTCCAGCTAGAGGGGCTTCGCTTGCCCCCTCTAATATTGTATGTGTCACTCTGTGTGTGTATTGCTGCGGATTAAAGTTATGGTAAAGTCTCAACTTTGATACTTATGCCACTTAAAAAAAAGTATGAGTACCCACATAGGTCAGGATCTGGTGTCACAATGTATGCAGTATCAAGCTTCCTACAACTTTTAAGTTTAATATGCCAAGAAAAAAGAAACGAATTCAGTGCTGGCTTACAAAAAAAAAAAACATAAAAAAGCGTTACTCTTACTCAGAATTCCAAAAACAACCGGTGACTATCGGTAGACTAGGTGCCAATTTTAATATTTGTTTTTGTTGTCAAATATCGTTTCTCTGATTTCCTGCTCAAGAAATTTGTCATCAGAACCCACCAACAATAGTAACAAAAGAAAAACTGAGACCACCAACCACTGGTAACTAGGTGGAAAATAAATAAATAAAATGACTGGACAGACTTGTAATCATCTCGATAATATTGCAAAACTGGCAATAAACAATTCGTAATAAAACTGCTTACCTAGTTGTAAATAGGAAAGATTCAGTGGTACTTAAGGGAAGAAAAAGTTAGTGGAAACGGGTAAGTTGGTATGATTAAGCAACATTTCCTCTAATTATTGTGTAATGACGCGAGGAACACTTTCTTGGATTCTTTTAGAAAGGCGAATTAAAACTTCAATGTACCTACCCCATGACTGCTATTGTCACCTCATAATGTTACGTTTCCATCCCGATAGATAAAGGCTCTTTCAAAATGATAACAGAATGATCCATGGCTTTAATTTTGTCCGAAATTTGTCCAGGCTTAATTCGAGTATTATATCCAAGATACAGAAAAACGGCTACCAACTATGATCTCCTGGCTTGATTCGAGTATTATATTCAAGATAAAGAAAAACAGCTAACAACTATGATGTCCTGGCTTAATTCAAATATTATATCCAAGATACAGAAAAACGGCTAATAACTATAATGTTCTGGCTTAACTCGATTATTATATCTAACAGACAGACACAACGGCTAACAACTATGATGTCCTGGCTTAATTCGAGTGTTATATCCAAGATACAGAAAAACGGCTAATAACTATAATGTTTTGGCTTAATTCGACTATTATATCCAACAGACAGACACAACGGCTAACAACTATGATGTCCTGGCTTAATTCGAGTGTTATATCCAAGATACAGAAAAACGGCTAATAACTATAATGTTCTGGCTTAATTCAAGTATTATATCTAACAGACAGACACAACGGCTAACAACTATGATGTCCTGGCTTAATTCAAGTATTATATCCGAGATACAGATAAACGGCTAATAACTATAATGTTCTGGCTTAATTCGACTATTATATCCAACAGACAGACACAACGGCTAACAACTATGATGTCCTGGCTTAATTCGAGTATTATATCCAAGATACAGAAAAACGGCTAATAACTATAATGTTCTGGCTTAATTCAAGTATTATATCCAAGATACAGATAAACGGCTAATAACTATAATGTTCTGGCTTAATTCAAGTATTATATCCAAGATACAGATAAACGGCTAATAACTATAATGTTCTGGCTTAATTCGATTATTATATCTAACAGACAGACACAACGGCTAACAACTATGATGTCCTGGCTTAATTCGAGTATTATATCCAAGATACAGAAAAAACGGCTAATAACTATAATGTTCTGGCTTAATTCGACTATTATATCCAACAGACAGACACAACGGCTAACATCTGTAATATCCTGGCTTGATTCGTGTATCATATCCAACAGACAAAGCACTAATGATGCCCTTTGTAAATTCGACTATTATATTGTTACGTCTCCGTTTGTTAATTGATTTTCCGTAACTTCGTTCCGACGAAACTTTAGCGACACAAGTCTTTACTTAATAAAACTGGTTTATTCTTTCCGAATACAACTTTACGATACACTTATTTTCAACAGTCGCTCTATAACAAACGCTATATCAACGAACGTCAACAAGACTTCTGACTGCAGTTCAATTACTCACTATCTACACACACATTATTGTCACGTTGTGAGCGTCTTATTTATATACCAGAAAAACATATATCTAGTAAATGCTAGGGCATTCACGAAGGAACAAGATACTTCTAGAAAATATGTCACGTGACCTCACTGACGCAACAATATCCAACAGACAGAAGAAACGGCTAACAACTATGATGTCCGGGCTTAATTCGAGTTTTATATACACCAGACAGAAGAAACTATGATGTTCTGGCTTGATTCGATAATTATATCCAACAGACAGTAACAAAGGCTAACAACTATAAAAAAATTAAACGAAATTCGTAAATTATGCTAAAAACGTGCTCATGCGCATTAAAATAACAAGCTGGAAGAATATATTATTATTAAAAACTTTTGAAATAACTTCCGCGTTTTAAAAAGTATTCATTTAGTTATACTAGCGACAAAGCAAAGTATATGTTTGAATTACCCAAAATATTGTTCAGTTACTATTCTTATACTTTAATTCAAATTTCGCAGTTATTAAAAGTCAGATGATTTCTTATCACCCTTATGATTTCTAATGAAGCAATGTTTACATGTTAACCAATGAGCTACCCTCTGGTAATTTATTATTAGTATTTGAGGTGAAATAAAAAACGCGTATGTTTAATCTAAAGGCACTAAATGAGTAAATCGTTTTAAAATCGAGGTAGATTTGCGATACCTAAAGGTTGATTGGTCATGTCCGAAAGTAGGGCTTATATGATTTTGTACGTATGGTGCACAACCTATGTTGATATAAAACAACCATCCATTTTATTAAAGTAATACTTTAAGTTACAGTAACGATAGCTATCTAGTCTTAGCTGAGAATGCTTAAGTAAACGAAAGATCGTTAGTTTAAAAAATTAAAATTTAAAGGTAAGCATATGCAATAACATTTGGCGTGTTCAAAAATACAAGTATAACTTTGGCAATGTTTATTTGTGTTCTATGTGAGATTATTTTGGGCACAATTTTTTCTCTAGATTTTTCGTTGATTTGTTGTATATAATTCGTTGAATAAATTGTTCCTTAACTGTATAAAAGTAATGTAATTTTTGTTTTCTTAAGTATGTCAGATCTTAAATATGAAACTTTATTAGTTAGAAACAAGCGATATATTTGGTGACTCTGTTAAGATATTTATTGATCTGTTTGCTGTTTTATTTAGAAATAGTAAAGAGATATTAAGATACACAACGACAAGAATACATTATTAACTCTTAAGAACTGCACAAAGCCACAGATGGTGCTTGAGTAACCCATATTTTCTCTCAATTTAAAATTCATGCGCAAAATAAAAATTAATAAAAATTGTAACAATAAAATTTACACATTTTCACAGAATGTATGTGACGAATCATATTTCAGTAACGATTTAATTGATAGTTAAACCCAGTCACCCGAAATAATAAAAAAGGAGTATATATATATATTGATAGGTTTTCCATTCAACCTTTATTTATCATCCTAAATTAGAAAAGTCCATCCATCTGTACGTATTGGGAAATAACACTCAAGAATTTTGTTTTTAACAGGGTGGAATATTTTAACTAAAATTCAGGATGTCTAAGTGTCATAATTAGCCTGATAACTTTTACTGACGAATAAATAAATATTCAAAGTTATGAAAAATAAAAACACTACAGTTTGAAACGAGTTCTAGTATCGTAGGAAGTTTAAATATAGTGAATTATGTGGCTCAGTCATAGATATGAGTGATTTTCAAGTATAAAGATGTTACCCTGAGAAAATTGAACACAAAAAGTTTGCGAACTAAAAAGACGGTTTGTTTAAATATGAAACTCATATGATGATACAATGCAATATTGTATTTCGATCACCATCTTTATTTTTTCGTAGACTTATTTGGATACATTGTTGTTGGAATTATTGTTTTGTGATAATTCTGATTCTTTGTTTCCAAAAATATCGAAATTTTTTGTTTCATATAAATATATAGCAACAATAAGAATTAATAAACTAAGAATGAATACAAAATCTAAGGTAAACTTATCTGGAAACAACAATGTCGAAGCAATAGCAGTCATTACGTTTCCTACGGCAGAAATGTAAAATTTAACAATGTTATCCAACTGTCGCATGATGGTAGCCAGAGTAATTCCGTGTAGTGTTGCTATGACGACGGTTGCTACCAAAAATGTCTTGATATTACTAGATACAACTGAAAAGTATTAATAATTAGAATAAGCATTAATGCTGGGATCTTTAACAATAAAAGAAGATTGCAATTATATAAAATCGTTACATTTCAATTAATCACAATTTCTGGGTTATCTTCGTTTTAAGAACTTCGTATTTATAAAGTTATTACACTTATATTCAGATGTTCTTACAAGAATTGCAACAAGCTGGGTTTATACAATAACTCGAAACTTTAGACATGAATTAATCTTTGAAATAAAATTACAGCATGCAAAATATTTGTTAATGTTCATCACATTTATAAGTAACACGAAAAAAGCTCATAAAACACGAATAATCTATATAAACATAATTATATATATATATATACAAAAAACACTTAACTCTTAACAGTGGGTATGCGTGAATCTCGTTATATTCAAAAGTTCCTAATGTCTGGACCTTTGAAAATTGCGAAGAATAGCAAAAAATCTTTGAAAATAAAATTTCGAAATTTGTGTGCATACATTAAACGATCTAAATTTCTTTTGGCTTTTATAAAGTTTTCTCTAAAGCATAGTTGCATATGGACATTTAAATCGACGAAACAGGTTTTAAATAATAAATAACCTATTTTAACACGAACGGCACTTCGGCCGACACACGTATTTAAAACGACCACGTCTGACTCCTAGTAGCTTTGTGCTTGACAGCAAATAAACAAATAACTCTTATTTTAAGAGTTGTTAACCAATGGGAGTGGAAATAATTAACAGCACTTGTCGCCTATACTTAACCGAAAAGTGGGATTCACTGTCACAATTGTAACGCTTTTTGTTTGTTTATTATTAAGCACAAAGCTACACAATTAGCTTTCTATTTTGTGCCCACAACGTGTATCAAAACTCGAATTTTATAGAGTTATAAACCTTCAGACTTATCGCTACACCAGTGTGGGGGTGGGGGACAATTGTAATTCTCCCACAGCTGCAAGTGTTAGGTGTATTCAGAGCATATTGTTACTCGAATCTTAAACCTTCTGATCGACATCTTGAAAACTAGGCCTAGCAAATACTATAATCAAACTTATATTTGAATGCATAACGTGTAATTAATAAGAATTTAAACTTGATTTTCTTTATATTTTTTTCATCTTTCCTTTGAAAATTTTGCAAGTTTACTATCACGAGTAATAACTATGTTACATATTAGAACAATCTACATTATCTTATAATAACTATGTTAGAGGTTAGAACAATCTACCTTATCCGATAATAACTACGTTAGAGGTTACAACAATCTACCTTATCCGATAATAACTATGTTAGAGGTTAGAACAATCTACCGTTTCTGATAATAACTATGTTAGAGGTTAGAACAATCTACCTTATCTGATAATAACCATGTTAGAGGTTAGAACAATCTACCTTATCTGATTTTTTGTTAATAACATCAGGCGTTGGAATTCAATAATTACATTAAATGTTTACATTATGGTTGCAAGACACTCACTCTTGAAATGGTTAAGTTTCGATGCGCTAGCTGGCCACTCAAGGATGCAGCACTGTAAATGCTGAGCAAATAAAAACTAGAATCCAAAAAGTTAAATCCTGTAGTGCACGAATGTTAGTGAAACTGTGTAATTTATATATACACTATAGTATCAAATTTTTCATATCAGGCCGATTGAAATGATGTTCAGTGTTGTATTTCACCTCTAGAGTCTCATTTTAAAAGAAAGTGTCACTCTTTTGATGTTAATTACAATGTCCTCTATTACTAACTTTTGCCACTAATAATTAGTATACATCAAATGAAGTAGACTGCCATTTTGCTTGCAAAGATCTCAGAGTTTAATGAGATTTCAATGTCTCTCTTTTTTATTCCACAGGAGACATTCCAAATTATCCCAAATTGGTCTTTACTTGGTCCACGTTTGGACTCGAAGCTGATTAGGGCAGCTTATAGTTTCTATTTATATCAAATCATTAGTGGACACTGTTTGTGACAATGCGTAGTGCATTACCATGTTGAAAATGGTACGATTTTTCCTCACAGAATTCCATCAATGTAGGCGTTGAGGTATTATTAGAATAATATAATACGATAAGACATTATTAGAACCCAGTGAACGAAATGCAACACGATCATACCACGATACAACCTCATATCTAAACTTTCTTTCGGATATTCTCAGCTTGTCCATCCAGAGCTAAAAACGTCATTCATGACTGTGATGAAGTTAAAATGCTGGCCTGCGACAATACTTTTCTGAGATGGTGTATATTTTTAAGGTTGCGTGGATCGAAGAGCGATTAACTTTTGGCAACTGAGCCTATATTCTACATTATACTATTAGTGGTCTACAATTTTTTCAGCATATTATCTATAGCAGTATTGGCCACTCATATCAAGAATATTATATTGAATACTTTTTTCTCTTTTAAGGCTCATAAGATGCTTTTTTTTTCGCAACTTAGTGGCCGTAATTGTTTGTCAGTTGCATCTGCTGACCTTTATGATCTTCATACGCTCGATAGGTCAGTACACTATAGAGGTTCATTTAGAAATTGAGTGGGGACTAGCCCATTACTAGCTGAGTAATATATTGTGAAAATTATGAAGACAATTTATAGTCACAAACATTAATTAATCATTGTAAAATACAAATAAATACACTTACGCGAAAAGCTAAATGCCTTTTGTTTCACATCATCAAAAAACACCACATACATGAGATTCAGAAGAGTACCAAAAAAGTACAACTGTATTTGTTGTTCCCAAAAACTGCGGCGATTGTCATTTTTAAAAAGTACCTGAAAAAAAAGAGAAAGACTTTATTAAAAATATCATAGAATGATTAACGCAATATATTATGGATTTACAAAACACCGGATATGAAAATTTAGCTGGTCGACAGGAAGATAATCACTACAAATGGTCAGTCTGACCACAAAGTATTTAATGTCCATATATCAACAATGGTTTACAAAGCATTCTAGGTTTAAGCTAAACTACAATATATCTCTCTAGCTTAAATAACTTTAGATACTTCGATCCTTTTGATGCATGGTTCAACCATCTGAACTCTAGCTCTTAAAAACTTTCCTCTCAGGTGCCCTTAAGAGTCTCAGCGGTAAACTTTGATGGCTTATAACGGTGGAATCTAGGATTCGATTCTCCAAGATGGACACTGCGCACATAGCCCATTGTGTAACTTTGGGTTTAACAACAAACAAAAAACACAATTTTTAATCTTGAAGGAATATAAGGCTAAAATCCTGGGTTCGATCTCTGCAGTAGACACATTTGTAGATAATCTATTGTGTAGCTATCCGTGAAAAATATAGAGAAAGATGTACCTGGAAAGTTTGTTTTATTTGTTGTTAAGTGCAAAGCTCAACAATGGACTATACTTCCTTTTATCATCTTATGAACCGAAACCCCGATTTTAGTGTTATAAGCTCTCACGCTTACCGTTGAGCCATCCATCAGTGGACGTTTTGTTAAATCTCACAATTATGGTCTAGCAAATCTAAATACAAACCCCTTGCATTCTCTACGTTTTCAAAGTTAACATCGTTGAAGAAAGTTGCTTGGAACCTTCTAATCACTTTACGTACCCCAAGAATGGAAATTCTCATCTCCGTGGAATGATGGTTATTGAATGAATGTCTTAAGGCCAAACTGCTGTTGTCTACGTAGTTTCCTTCTAAGTTATGTAAATTTCAGAAGACATGGAACGAGAACTCTTGTCGCAAATTATTTTGAAGTTACTATCCTGTTTAATGTTTCTAATTTTAATGTCATTACTAAGTCTAGGTAAGGATACTTTATCTCTCTGTTGTGGTGTTAGTATTTTACCTCTCCATATCATTTGTACCTAAGTTGAGCCCTTTTCAACATCATTTGTAGTTAAACTGAGCTGTTCTCCACATCATTTGTAGCTAAGCTGAGCTTTTATCTACATCACTTCTAGCTAAACTGAGCTTATCTCCACATCATTTGTAGCTAAGCAAGGCTCTCATCTACATCACTTCTAGCTAAACTGAGCTTATCTCCACATCATTTGTAGCTAAGCAAGGCTCTCATCTACATCATTTCTAGCTAAGCTGAGCTTTTCTCTACATCATTTGTAGCTAAGCAAAGCTTTCATCTACATCATTTCTAGCTAAGCTTAGCTTTTCTCTACATCATTTCTAACTAAACTGAGCTTCTCTCCACATTATTTGTAGCTTAACTTAATTTCTTTCACATATTTTTAGCTAAAATGTCTTTCTCTCACATCATTTGTAGTTAAACTGAGCTTCTTTCCACATCATTTGTAGTTAAACTGAGCTTCTCTCCATATCATTTCTAGCTAAACTGAGCTTCTCTCCACATAATTTCTTGCTAAACTGAGCTTCCCTCCACATCATTTCTAGCTAAACTGAGCTTCTCTCCACATTATTTGTAGCTAAACTTCATTTCTTTCACATATTTTTAGCTAAAATGTCTTTCTCTCACATCATTTGTAGCTAAACTGAGCTTCTTTCCACATCATTTGTAGTTAAACTGAGCTTCTCTCACATCATTTCTAGCTAAACTGAGCTTCTCTCCATATTATTTGTAGTTACGTAACATTTCTCTAAAAAATACAGCACAACTTCTTTAGTCTGCTTACAATAGTGATTCCTAATACTGTTAGTTGTTGTACTTTTTATTAGTGATATTTTATTACTTGTTAATTAATTCGTTAAACTAATAATTGACGCATCCATATATTGCTTAAGCTATTTCGCGAGTATTTAGGATTTAACATTTTTCTTTAATCTGTTCGTCTACCCGTTCCTTATCGTAGAAACGTATGATTGAGAGTGGGAGGGGAGGTGTGAAATTGGCGTCTGGTAACTTGTTTATACACCGTACTTATAGTAACTTATTGTTTAGATAATATAATTATAGGGTAGATATATTACAGTTCACTGATCCGTTATTGAAACTATACGAACACATAAAGATATATATATACATTTTTTAAGTCTTCTTTTTGTTTCCGTTTTTTAAAGAGTAACATGCGAGGAGAATCATCTGTCTTTAACGACAAACTAATTTAACTTACACAGTCGAGATCAAGAAGTAATGTTTCATTGGTCGCTTGCTACTGCTTCGTAAACTATAAATAGATTTGTTTATACTGATGCCACTGTTTTCTAAGTAACCAGTTACAGAACATCGGTAGAATTTTCCAGATTCGATGCCAGTTGTTTTTTTTCTAGTTTGTTTTTACCTTCACCATTTTTTGCAGACCAATATACAAATGTTTATATGTATATTTACGCTTCGTGTAATCAGTGGGGATCTCAGAAGCAAACGGCTGATGTTTTTATATTTTAGTAAGCAGTTATCTACTCAACTTCGCTTAATAATAACATTTAGTTTCATTAATTCATAATTTTTCATAATGCTTATAATATTTTTCCGAATTAATTTGGGCTCCCAGTGGTTGAGTGATAAGTCTGAGAGTTTACACCACTAAAAAACTAAGTTAGGTAGTGAGCACAGCACAGATAGCCCATTGTGTAGCTTTGTGTTTAATAATAAACAAACAAGCTGAATTAATTTTTACACTCATGAATATTAAGGTGCATTTTTATCTTAGGACATGAATTTACGATTAATCTAAAACTTCTTAGCTTTATGAAACTTGCGATATGTTGTGGGTATTAAAACAGCGATAATTCCCAAATGATGATTCAGTACGTTCATTGTATATATTTCAGTTTTCTGATGTATTGATGTAAGTGTTTAAATACTCTTAAGTTGTTGTATAGTACTGGCTTCATTAATGTATGTGTTACTTTTTGGCCCTGATCTGTACAGTTTGCTTACTCCTCTTCAGTTTTTATTAAAGATATGAAAATAAATTATGATCCAGTGGCACAGCGGTATGTTTGCGGACTTACAACGCCATTGTGTAGCTTTGTGCTTAACTACAAACAAACAAACAAAATTGATGCTTTAGTGTTTTCACAATCTTTACCTAAAGATAAGTGTAATTTCTTTACACCCCTTCAGCGCATGACGTTGATTGGTTTCATGTGTCACGTGACATCATATGGACAAGCCCACGATAGTTCGTTGTGGTGCCACAAAAGGCGGTAGTTCCCTGTGATAGACTCAATAGAGAGTGTAATTTTTAAGTGAATTTTTAAGTTTTAACTGATTTTCATAGTTCTTTCTAACAGCGGATGAAAAGGGCAATATTAGTTCTTTCAAGTAAGTAGAGATAAATTCTTATGAGTACTAATATAATTAGAGTTGAGTCATTTGCTCAACTGGTATATCTATAATAATGAAAAGGCGTGTCTGTGTGTATATGTGACAGCCATAGCTCCAAGAGGAAAGAACCTAGAAACCTGAAATTTTGCACCCCATACTAAGTTGACCCTGAGGGTTTGCACCTGGGTATTATTACTTATCTTATCTACGTGCGTGCGCATCTTTTTAATGAGGCAAGCTAGCGAAAAATTATATAGAAAAGAAATAGTTCCTTATATAACAACATCTAATATATAGAAAATCCAGTGCGTTTTCGTAACAATGCGTTACAACAATTGCTTTTATGTTATGTTGCTTAGCAACAAAAGTATAACCTAATATTGTTGTTAGTCTATGTACTTATAGTATAAAACGAAACGTATAAACTACAAAACTGGAAAAATATTTGTTGATTTCTTTATTTAGAGTCTCCGTTAATTAAAGAGGTTTTTTTAATTAAAAACGTTGGTGATATAACAGAAAATACCTTAATTCAGGAACGATTTAAGTTTAAAATCAAGTGTGACGTGACACACACTAATTCTATATAGGTTAGTTAACGTGGCGTATAGTGGCATCTATAATTATCTATAACATAGCCATTTAGAATATATCAACCTAATAACCCGAGCAAAGCCGGGTACTTTCGCTAGTATATTAATAAAAGTAACATGCATAGTATTGCCTGGTGGTTAGGGCGCTTGACTCACAATATGCGGGTTGGGGGTTTGAATACCGTCACCGAAAACGCTCGCCCTCTCAACTGTAAAGGCATTACAATGTGTTGGTCTATTCCATTTTTGGTTGGTAAAACATGAGCTCTAAAGTTGGCGGTGAGTAGCTTTGACTAGCTACCTTCCCTCTAGTCTATCACTTCAGATAACACTCGAGTAGCTTTTCGCGAAATTCAACATGCAAACAATAAAAGTGACTCATTTTATGATTTGAAAAGTTGACTTGGTCTTCATACTGAACTTTATTCTGACCTCGACTGCAGAATTCCAGACAGGTGAACTTGATTATGTTATTTCTTTACAAGATCCTCAAGGACTACTTTCTATCTAGTAATTCTGTATATAGCAATTCATCCAAAAACCAACAAAATGTTTAAACATGTAAAAATAATGCCATGTTTTTCACTAAGTTTGTTACCTTTGTATAGAGTAATTCATACTTTATTCGCGTGATTTCTCATATACTACCTACACCTTACAGCCAGAATCTCTGTAGTCCTGAAAAGGACTGTTGTTATACTTAATTTGAACATGAGTTATTAAAACTTTGTTATCGTTTCCTTAACATTTGCTTAACACATGAATCATAAACAACGTACACAAAACTTATCGCCCTCCGCTGTTGCAGCGGTAAGTCTGAGAGCTTATAACGCTAAAATATGGTTTTGGTACCCGCGGTGGACACAGTATAGATAGCCCATTGTGTAGCTCTTTGCTTAAAAATAAAACAAGCTTTTCGGGTACATGTTGTCATGTTTGTTTTTTGTTATACAAATAAACAA